AATCACTGAGAGAAAATTTTCCCCACTGTTCTTAGCTCTATGACACCAAGTAAAATAAATATCCTTTCACTCAAACTACCAGCATTAAAAGATATTCTATTTGCTGAGAATGAACAGGACAGTTCTTTGATAGCTCTATGTAATGAATTGCTTCTAGGACTGCTTCACAAAGTACTGAGGCAGCTGTTCTTTGAAGCAACCAACCAAAGAGGAGGGGTGATCCTCTATGCTATAAAAGTCATTCCTGTACTGGATAGATTAGCACAAAAGTTCCTAACAGTTTTTTTATGCAGTTGCAAGATATGATATCCCATCCACCCATTAGTAATATCTGGTTTACTAAAGTGGTTGCCAGTGCGAGCCAGGCAACTATCTTGAAAGATGTATGAAGCATTTGATATGCACACACTCATCCTCAGTGGGTCTCAGGAAAGAATCACTAAGTTACTCCTAAAATCTCCTCTGAACATAAAAGCCTATTTATATTTTCATACACACAATATCTATTTGAAGGCAAATGTCTGTGACACTTTGCTGCGACCATCCAAGAGACCACCTCTGGCTCCCCACGCCCAGTCATTCCCCCTGATATAGTCATACTTTTAACTACACTGGCATTGTCTCAAATACTACTATCTGAATTCTTAGTTCAATGTGTATATAGATGATCCTGGTTGTGTCTCCCTGTGGTCATGACTTCCATTTCCCTGAAGAGTATCTTCTGATGTGCATAGTGGCCAGTTTTGTAGCTTCTTTGAAAATGTCTATTCGATTCCCTTACCATTTTAAAATTGGGTTGTCTTTTTATTATTGAGTTGTAGGAGTTCCTAACACTTTCTAGATACTAGACCCTTATAGATATACAGTTTACAAATATTTTCTTCCATTCTGAGGGTTATCTCTTTCTTTACCTTCTTGAGTATGTCATTTGGGTATAAACATTTTTCATTTTGGTGAAATTCAGCAGTCTGTCTTTTCTTTGGTTGTTGGTGTATTAATTTTTTAAGGAAGAAATTAGAGATAAAATGTTGTGAGAATATCCTATATTAAAGACAAATGATTCAGATTTGTAATAAGCAGAGAACTGAATTGGCCACTCATTTAAATCATAAATTTCCACTTAGGAAACACATCTATTTTATCTTGATGGAAAGTAGGAAGGAAATTACTTATTTCTAAGTTCTTGATAAACTGATTATTTAGACTAAGTACTTGACTTTGGATGCCAAATGGCCAACAAATTGCAAAGAAATAAAATCCCTATCAGATCTATATATTTTTAGTGATATTTGTTGCAAAAGCTAAATTTCCATAGTCCTTATAGTCTTGGAATTGTTTTTTCAAACTGAGCACATTCCAATGCATCTTTAAAAGCTTCAAACTAATAATTTTTCTAAAACTGCACAAAATTAGAGTGGCATGATATAACCTCAGTGCTTTATAACTGCTCAATAATTACTAAATATACTATCCCAAAGAATCCATCATGATTACAGTAATTTTTCTAACAAAAAAACCCTAGTAATTAGGGTCCTGAAAAGGTATCTAATACTGCTCTAATATCTTTATCAACCAGCTTTTTGATAAAAACAAGTTTATAAAGCTTAAAATGTGAATTTACTTCATTTACTTCTGAATTGAATTTCATAAAAATGGTTAAAAAAGGACCTCCCCGGTGGCACAGTGGGTTGAGCACAGTGCTGTGAGGCTGTCTGCAGCCTCGCAGCACGGGTTCAATTCCCAGCCGGCCAGGGAGATATCTACATAGCACGGCAGACCTATCCTGGCAGACCTATCCTGTCTTGCCCGCTGCTCCTCTCAGCAGTGTTTTCGGTGCATCTGCCTGTTCTGCTCCTGGCTCTGTCTCTGGTGAAGTCTCTCACCCTCCTGCGCCTCTGACTGTACTCCAGTTCTTATACAAATAAATCTTTAAAAGAAAATGGTTAAAAAGAGAAACTTTACATTATGTATATTTAACCACAACTTTTGAAAGTCTTTTTTTTTTTTAAAGTGTTTCACTCCTGAAACAATTATTTTTTTTTAAGATTTATTTATTTATTTATACAAGCACTTGGTACAGTCAAAAGTGCGGGAGGGTGAGAGAGAATTCACCAGAGCCAGAGCAGGGAGCAGAACAGGCAGAAGGACCAAAGTACACTGCTGAGGGGAGCAGCGGGTGGCAGGAGACGTCTGTGCGCCATGTGGGAACCTCCTCCAGTGGCCGGGGAGCAGCGCGGGAATCGAACCAGCGCTGCAGAGGGCTGCGGGCAGATTCACAACCCAGTGCTCAACCACTGCGCCACCAGGGAGGCCCAACTTTTGAAAGTCTTAAGAGGAAAAGAAGACAGAGAATAGAAGAGAAGGAAAAGAGAAAAAAGGGGGAAGAAATTAAAGAGAAAAAGAAGTGCAGAAGATAGAGACTCCCAAAACAAGTAAATCAGAGCAGCTGCTTGGCAGACAATATTCCAGAAAAGCCTACTAAGAGAAAGGTACATTTCCCTGGGCCTTCAGCCAGATCACCAGCAAAGCAAAGCTCTGCAAGAAAGCACAGGAGGTAGGTGACCCTGAAGAGTAATATGACCTACTATATATTCATACAGAGTTTTATCTCAAATCTAAGATGTGGGGCAAATGTCACTGTATTTCCAGAGCCAGGGCTCCTCCTAGAGAAAAAACAGTTAAGTTTCCTTCCCACCACAGAGGCCAGAATCCTCTTAAACATAGAATTAAGGTGATGGCACTATTTTGGGTTTTGGTTAATGGCAAACTAGTGTACCAATATTGTAGAAAAAAGAAAACAAAGAGACCTCAGTGCAAAGAACCATGAAATGTCCTGAGTACCTCTCTACTTTGCAGTTCTCTTAAAATTATTGTTTAGTGTCTAAAACAAGCAGAATGGCTTTTTTCCCCCAGAAAATACCTTTGAATTCAGTCCAGCTTCTAACTTTATAGTCATGAATGTAAATTACAAGACAGGATTTCCTTATTGTATAGCTTAGGAGAGAGATTTTTCAAAAAGCGATTGAAGTCAATTAAGCTCTTCTAAAAATACTTCTCATAAACATAACAAATACCAAATAGTGTTAATCCAAACGGATCCAGTTTATTTACTATACCTTAAACATTTTTTATCATGACAGACTACAACAATGCTTCATTGTAAGTGCTCAAAAAGGATTTGCTGAATGAATAAGTACCAAACCTCCACTTGAGTTTGTTTTGGTAACAGGGAGATGATAACATAGGATAAAATCTCCTTATTCCTTCTAGATCTAACAGGGTCTTATTTTGATTGTTACTACGATAGAATAAAATCTAGTATCTTTGCAATTCAATACAACAGACACATTAGACTCCCCCTAGGAAGAATAGAGTGGGAAGCAGGAAAGTGAGAAGAGAAGAAAGGGGAGGAAGGAGCACCTGACTATGCCAGACAGAGCTTCTCCAATGGTGACAAAGATTACATCAGCGCTCAAGCAAGCTAAAGTGTCCCAATCTCACTTTAACACAAGTTTCAATCAAAAATTAAAATGAAATAGTCTATCTACTTCAATAAAACTGATCTACTTGACCCTCTATCTTAAGAAAGATGAGGTAAGCTCATTGTAAACATGACTTTTTCATTCCCTTCTGCAGTTTTGCACGTTCATTTAACACCCTTTTTGAGACAGTCCGGTACTACAAGAGAGAAAAACAATACACAGGAGCAATTCCTAAGGACCATGTGATGGGCTGTTATCGGACAATTGGACTATGCACTGGCCCCCAAAACTTCAGAATATGACCTTAATTGAAAACAGGGTCTTTGATGATGTGATTGGTTATGATGGGGTAATTACTTGAGTACGGTGGGTCTTTAACTGAATGATTATTGTCCTTACAAATATAAGAAATTTGAATACAGACAGGTACTCAGGGAGACTATGAAGATTGGAGTTATGCTGCATAAGTCAAGGAAGTACCCAAAGCTGGAGAGTGGAAGACAGCCTTCACTAGGACCTTCCGAGGAGGCATGGCCCTGCTGACATCTTGATTTCAAACTTCTGGCACTTACAACTAGGAGACAATAAACTCCTGTTGTTCTAAGCCATCCAGTATGTGGCACATTGTTACTGCATCCCCAGAAAACTAATGCAGAAAATAAGAGGCCAACGTGTACCAACTAGCCTATGCTCGTTAAATAGCATTTCAGATCCAATCCTGCACCCCATGACTACTGTCACATTAGTCCAGGCACCAACACCTTACTCTTAATCTGCAAAAGCTGTCTGGTCTTCCTCACTTCAGACTCTTTCTTACCTTCCTCAGCTGCCAAACCCACCTGCACACCACCATGACATCAACCTTTAAGAGATGCCAACCTCTTTGCATTGCTCTCTTGTTAAAAAACAATTTCTAGTAGCTCACCAATTCTCATAGGAAAAAGTCCAGATTCTCCTGTCTAGCATTCAGGCCTCTCTTTTCTAAGCTATTTCCAACTGCTGTGCAACATCTTAGAACATACAATCATTATTCTTGATGCCATGCCTCCTCCCCTGCTTGTCACCCTTCTCCTTCACCAATCTAAATCTTGATCCATGAAAACTACTGCTTAGTCTCCTTTCCTCCTCTTAGCCCTCTCTATATACTAAAGTTCACAGACAAGGCTCTATCTCTGACCTCTCTGCAATCCTGCTATCAGTCACTCTACATTCATCTCAGACTGCCTGGCATGGTTACCTGGCCTTTTAAATGTGCCCACTGATTTCACAGCTGGAATCAAATCTGGAGGTTATTTCTCAATGCCAAGGACAGTGATAGACACAGTACAGGGAAGCTCTAAATTTTTACTGAATTAACTATTATACATAGCTTTTTCTTCAATAAAGACTTAAAATTGAAAAAAAAAAAAAAACCCTACAAATGTCATATACTCCTAAAGGTTTCACATATATCCGGATAATTTAAAGTTCACATGGAACAAGAAAAAAATAAATGACTTTTAGTCCCAACTTACTTACCATTCTTCATCACGACATTGGACCAGACATTGGCATTCAAGGCTTGAACAATTCGCTTTACTCCTGTAGATTCTGGGAAGTCATCTAATCAGAAAGTTGGAAAGATATGTGTGTGTATATATATATTTATATACACTTACATACACATTTATTTTGATATATATCCCAAGTCATATTTTTAAAAAACTGACTCAATTCATTTGCCTATTTGTTATTTCACATTGTGACTAATGCAGTAAGAAAAAAATTAAAACTCCTGAGAAGAAAATTCTAGAAACAAATGAAATAAACACACAATGTAAGAGGATTATAAAGCCATCCCTACTGCCTTGTCAATGGAAACCACTCATATTTTCCTGAAAATGTTAGTGTCTATTAATTACACAACCCTGGGATAGGACTAGCAATAACAATCTTGGTTACTTATAGTGAATGAGTTTCCTGAAGGCAAGAACGGTCACCTTAGTATGCTATAAAATCCTATAAAATGCCCTATTTTCTTTCACAAGCCATAGAATAATGATTCCCCATGGTAGATACCTAGAGAATCACTTCATCAGAGAAACAAAGTTTAAGAATGAGAAATAAATTACTATAAGACAGGCAAGGAATCATAAAAAGCAAAAAAAAAAATTTATTTCAGCATTGGTGCTATCCTGCTTCTGAAATTTAACTGGTACTGCTCCAAGTAACAGGGCAGTATCCTAGCTAGCATACCAATAGTAAGGTGGTATTCTCAGCTGCAATGTAGGTATGAGTGTGCTCAAAGGAAATGGATATCCTAAGACAATGAATACTGTAAATCTGGACATGGAAAGTGGCAGAAATAACTTTCATGTAATTGAAAGAGAAAAGTCTCTTAAGAGTTTATAATGCACATTCCACATAGAACCTATCTCTAGTGGCTTTTGTGATCCTGGTTTAAGAAGGACAGAATTAGAAGTCAAAAGATCTGAATTTGAACCCAGCCTCTGTAACTTCTTTGCTATTTGATCAAGAGCAAATAATTTATGCCCTTGGGATGTGGGATGATACTACTCTGTGAAACCCACTCTTAACAGAAAGATGCACTGGAACTGATGATTTTCTGGTATAAACGTCCTATATAGACTGCAAACTCTTTGAGGTAGGAATCATGTTCAGGAATCATGTTAGGTATTCCCACAGCCTAACATGGTGCCTGAAACACAGCAGGCACTCAAGGATTGATGAATCATTTAAATACCAACCTAATATAAATATGGTGAAGATTAAACTGAAAATACTCTAATGAGTTTATCACCATCAATGTTTAAATGAAGAAATGTTCATCTTAGCTGTAAATGACTCAATTCTTAGAAGAATAACTAACAGATCAGATAATATAAACAGGAACCAAAATATGGTCTGAAATAAAGAGGTAGAACCAGTAAAATGAAAATAGAAACAAGCATAAAATGTCATATTGATTGATATTTGAATAATACATTGAAATAAAGCATAAGGGTACATGGTTTGGAAACTATAAAATAATTCAAGGAAGGTTTTAGTTACTTTACCTAAAAATATCAAGAACCTATTTGAAGATAAAGCTGAATTAATACAAGAACAGCACAGACAAGGGGCAAGGAGCAGTATATTGGTATAAGGGAACAAAGACTCCAAAATGAAATAGACCTGAACAAACGACTCTATTGTTGACTCTTAAGGGAAGCAGGAAAAGAAAATTCTAGTGCCAGAAAGAAGCCAACCACACGAGATGACTGCACACACAAAGCAGGGCACAAGTTTCAGGGAACCTAGAAAAACATGGCAAGAGAAACTAGTTGCTAATTTTCAATATTCTTAAAAATGTACAGGAAGAAAACAGCCTTTTTAATTCATCTATGTCTTCCTTTCTGGCAGGGTTAGTTTCCCAAATGTAGTAACATTTTGGAAAATTTCTAAATATGCCAGAAAATAAAAAGATATTTCTGAATCCCTAAAAGTATATAGATTTGCAGTAATAACTTATATCCTATCTATCTACTTTAATTCAATTTCACTGTTCCTGCTTAGTTCATCTTTTAGAATGACTGGCATCTTCTCAATGCCACCTCCCAACCAGTCCTCTAACAAGTCCAATATGGTTTCCATTTCTGTCCCCATGGAACAGCTGATATGTAAGAGTCCATGGTACTAATGCATGCCTAGGACTTCTAAAGAGAAATACTCTCCCATCACTGAGTATCACAATGTCAATTATTTTTTATAACATTGTGACATTCAGCTTGGTAATTCAAATATTTGTATATATATATATTTTAAAGATTTATTTATTTATGCATACAAGAGCTGGGGCACAGGCCAGAGGCACATGGGATAGGGGTGGGGGGGGGTGAAAGGATTCACCAGAGACACACTGGAGAACAGAACAGGCAGACTGACCGAAATACACTGCTGAGGGGAGCAGCGGACAAGACAGGAGAGGTCTGTTGTGCCATGTGGGCGGCTCCCTGACCAGCCGGCGATGGAACTCTGCTGCAGAGGCTGTGGATTGCTTCACAGCGCTGCGCCTAACCCCTTGTGCCACCAGGGAGGAATAATATGTTTTAATCTTATACCAGATTACAAGTCTTTGATAGGTCAAAACCATCTTATCTTGGTTGGTTGATCCCACCACAGGCAGCAAAGGTAAACTCAGAAGGAGAAAAACGAGAAGACAATGGAGAAGGGGAAAATAGAAGGTGTAGAATGTAGCAGGAAGCAGCTGAATGAGAGCTAGCCTCGGAGTGCATTCTGGGTTGATTTTTGGTTTCAAATGTCCAAAAGACAGGGGCTGACATGCAACCTAAGGTTCCTGATCCCAAGTTACTAGGAATTTAAAAAAAAACAAAAAACAAAAAACAATTTTTGCATACAAGTCAAACCCTCCTCCTTTGGCAATGGAGTAATATAGAGTGGGGAAATAACTAAGACTTAAGGTAGAAATCCTCTACCTTTATCCAAAAGAAAGACAACATTCCAAAAGTCCTAAAATGCTGGTGAAACCAAGCACATGGTTTATTTAATAAATAAACAACCACATCCATGGATTTTGCACAAATCTTTTCAAACAACTAGGAGGAAATGCTTTGATTCTTCTTCCTTGAATGATATAATCTCTCATATCTGAACCTAAGCACTATGTTTCCTCCCGACACATAAAATACTTACCATCCTCCTCAGGCAACTCTTCTGGACTAAGTTCTACCAATTCAAAGCCATGTTTGATACACCATTCTTGAGCTTTTTGTCTGTTAACACCTAAAATCAAATGCAAAAGAATCTTAACAAGTAAAAATAAAACTGGAATATTGCTGTAACACTTTTCACAAATCTCAGTGTTACCCTGTCAGCATTAATCTAAATACATCCAACTTATAACGTGGTATAAAAAGAATGATTTCTCATACTTAAGTGTCCATTCTTAAAAAAATAAAAAGCAAAAAATGCAAGAGATGAAAATTGTTTACCAAGGAATGCAAATGTATGTACCAACTACCAGCCCATGGGGGTGCCTTACCACTTTCAGACACTCGGTCACAAACCAGGATCATCACCTCAGGTAACCATGCTTCTGCGAGTGGAAGCCAAGAGGAGACACTATCAAGACCAGATTTCTAGAAGGGAGAAAAAATACACAAAAGCTGGAAAAGAGACATCAAGAAAATTCCCAGAAAATGTTGAGGAGGGGGGGGGAAGGGCGAGGAATACAAGGTAATTTCTTACTCAAGCCTCCATGAAAAATAAATCTTACCTGTGTGCTGTCAAAATAAACCACAAATGCTTGGACAGATTCCGCAATTTCTGCAGTGACGAGGTATTTGTTTGGTACCACACATAGATTGATATCTGCTGAATAGTATTTATTATCAATGGTCCAAGGATAATATCTCACAGCATCACTGGCAGTCGCTTCCACAATAACATCTTCTGTTCCAAGGATATCTAAATAAATGACATATCATTACCACAAAAAAGCAAAACCAATATACACTGGTCAATTTCTCAGGAGGATACCATATCAACATGGTATTTTGACAGAGTCACCTTATGCAAAGATTTCAAAGAACCTCACTAGGAAATTTTGTTCTTTGAGCATATGACATAGTATAACTAATTGGCTTCTTTCAGAACACAAAAAATATTTGTGGCTAAATTAGATAATAGTACACAGTAAAACTGTCACCTAACCAAATACCCAGAAGAGAGCAAGTAGAAGAGAAAATGATCACTTCATTTATTTCAAAGCTTACATACTTCATGAGAGAGAGATTATAATAATTTTAAAAATCTGTAACTTATTTGTACTTATTGCAAGCTAACAGGAAGAGAGCACTAAGGCTAAACCATTAATGGAATAGAGGAGCCACACATATGCTTTGGGCCAAAACCTTACATTATCAATTAATGAAATAAAAGAAATGATACTGATGAATGATCCCAATTCCATTTCCTCTTAGACAAAGACACTTCCGGTAAATTTTAAATACAGAATAGCTAAGCAAGTTATATGACCTAGATTATAACTAAATCTTTCAGAAACCCACATGCAACATGAGTATAACTTGAAAAATGAACAAGTAAAGATATGGTCATGGAACTAGAGGCTTCCATGTAATACAATTATTTAGAAACATTAGAAATTGTTCTAACCCGAACTCATCTTTCATGTCCACACCCTCAACCTCCATTTTATAGATGTGGGAAATGAGCTTAGAGAAGTAAAATCACAGTCCACCAACCAGTTATTATAAGAATATACATAAAATAGCCACAAACTCTTTCTCGGTACATTCGAAATATTCCTCAAACACAATTAGCTGGATCCAGAAAACCAGAGGTTAATTTTATATTCTAGAGCTAAGATTATGTATTTGGAGTATTGCCATATTTTTTGCTAAACAAAAAGACAGGAAATAATTCAGTCCAAAAGATAATGTACCATATAAAGGTGCACATGTACTCTTTTTGTTTGTAAACTTTTGTCATGTGGTTATTAGGAGGGCTGGTCTGCTGAAAAGGGAAACTCTTTAATAAATTTAAGACTTTACCTTTGACATAAACACTATAAAACTATCCTTAATTGAATCTCTTTTACCAAAACCAAAACTGTTACTTTTAAATTAACAGAAGACCAATGCCAAAATATAAAAATCTGAGTTTACCTTGTCTCTTTAAGAAATCAGAGTTCTTTCTGCTTAATTTCTAGCAAAAGTCATAATGCCTTAGTAAATACCAATCAAGTTCCATAGAAACCAGCTGCAATATCCCTGATGGAGCATTAAGACAAATTCAGGGTAGGAAATAACCAGGAAGAATAGGTAAGTTATTAAAATCAAAGATTCTTTTATCATGTAAATGTCTCAGTGGGGGGAAAAAAACTACATCAAAGCCTCTATTAGTATTCAAAACATTCAAAGCGAATACTCCCTCCTTCAACCAGGTGAAACAGCAATATGTAGCTGTTTGGAAAAGCTGAATACTGCACAGTCAACACACAACTGAATACGTGGACGAAACACACGTGGAAGACAGCAAACTAAACCAAAGAGCAAAAAGTTCATATTTTTAAAGGGAATGAAGAGTCATCAAAGAGACTCAGTCTTCCTTACTGGGTAATTTTTTTTAAACAGAGAAGTATTAACAATATTTTTAAAGGGGGTAAGCCCAAAGAGTAAAATAATGAATCCATTTGGTAAGGGAGGAAGTACAAGGAGCACAGGATACTACCACCATCACCACAGCTCTTTTCCTAACTGGCTGCATGATTAAAAACTGAAATAGAATTTGGATTATGCTTTTTTTCCTATCAGTGTCTTCAACTAACATGAAGAAATAAAATCAAATTAAAATACCAAATACTTACTATCCATATAATTCAGAATACTTAGATTCATTATGGTTGGTTCACTTTATTAATAAATGTTTGGAATACAAGAGAACAAACCAATGTGTGTTACTCTCAGTTCTTAAAAATTCAATTTTATCCTCCTTTGATTTTCAATGATTAAGATATTTATTTCCTTAGTACACACTCAAGAAGCTATTTCTTCCTCTTTTCCTAAACCTGGAAAAGAACAGAAGCAATAAGATGGAAAAATGAATTTCACCTTTCAATGTTACTGCAGCTGGGTGCTTTTTTAAAAAAAATATTTTGTGTTGCCTAAAAGAATTTGATGGCTCAATTTATTTCTCATGGTTTGTTTTTTTTTTTTCCTTTAAAATATCTAACCAGATATTTTCAGTGTGACTGCCCGTGAACTTTATTATCACATCTGTACAGTAGTTGGAACTACGGAGAACATAGTGAAAATGACCTCATTCTAGTTCTTCCTATCCAGCATCATAGAGTTTAATTTTTAAAATGTAAGTGTCTAGACTAAACATAGATTTTTCTCCCTCATCTTTTCTTTTGTTTCAAATGTGTAACCGCTTATTCTTTCCCAAATTAAAGCAAAAAAAAAAAAAAATCACTCAATTGTGCACTTGGCTAGGAGTTTCTGGAGTTCAGTACAATTCACTTATTTCATTGTTGAGAAAATTGAGGGCCAGCCAAAAGACGCCACTTGCCTACCAGGAGCAGAGCCTAAAACAGAATCCAGGTCATCAGCAATCTTTATGTAATGCAAAGCATTACACATTACGGTACTTAGCATCTGAGCTAGCTCACTCAAGTGTCTAACCATCACAAGTACCTTCTGCCCTTTTAGTAATGTCAAAAATAACAAAGAGGGAACCAGAATAGGAGCCCACAGCAAAATTAACCCATCAGGAAACTGTCTAGGGGTTGTGGTATTTATATGTCAAAAGTGAGTCATAGTGATCCAGTGGAGTTTTTTTCACCAAACTTCCTAGAAAAACCTGCAATGGTCTCCCTTGTTTGCCCTTTACTAAAATAAATTTTGATGTACTCAAAATGATACACAAATAAAATCAAGAGTAGCTTCCCCCTCCTCCGGGTGGATGTAAGCCTGTCTCATCCACACTGTTGGCAGCCACCTGGTGGAGCTGTAATACATCATTTTTAAAGAGATGAACTCTAGCTGATTCCACTACTACAAACTTGGTTTCATAACTTGAAGTTATCTGGAGTGTCTGCAGATGGCAAGTTAAATGTCAACCCAGTTCCAGCAGCAAGTATAAACCTTTCCCCCAGTTTCCAGTGTCTTTCCCTATTTGAGAAACTGTTTTACATAGCCATCAATGTTCACAAACTCCTGTCTACTTTCTCACTTCTTTGAACTTACTTCCTCTACAGTCCCACATGACAAGTTATTCAAAAGATTCAACTAAGACAGCTGTATGCTAAGGAAGCTTTTCAGTTCAGTAACTGCACAACTCTCTCTTCTTCTAGCCCTGCTTTATATCGCTCCTTGCCTATTCTAATGTTCTTGCCCCTAGAAAGGGTGTAAATTTGGTAAGTGATCAAATGAAAGGAGGCAGCTAGCCTTCCACAGTTCAGAATCAGAAAGAGGTGCTACTCTCTTGAGCACAATTTAGGAAGTCAACTAAAGTTCTAAGGTAACTCCCTCTCCCCCTCCCTACCCCCTCTCTCTCTCACACCCCCCCCCAACTATCTACTCCAGTGAAAAAAGACAAAATAAGTACATTCTAAACTAAGTGCACTGGTACTATTTTGAACTAATCAGATCTCCTTCAGTGGTATAATTAAGGACTATTTTTTTTATATCAGTGTAAAATGTATGCTTAACTAACCATGACATTCTTTGTGGTAAAAAGTTTACCCAGTGGTTAAACCATATTGTCTACGTCCTGAGAAAAGTGACAGCTGCCACCTCAAATCAAGATGATCCTTCCAGAAATCAGCACTCTTCTGAGAATACAGTTGGTTTTAGTCTCTCTCATGGAACTGAAACTGACCTTACAGCCAGACATCATAACCTCTCACCCCCAGAAGCAAATGTCTTTCATGGTATCCTCTTTCCTGCGGATCCACAGTTCCTCTCCCTCCCATTTGAAGTGGCAGTAATAACCACCAGACTAAAAAGGCCAAAAAGTAGAGACAGCAGAGACCTAGTCAGAGAGATCTGCATTTGAATGTCGGTGCTGTGAGAATAGTCAATTCACCTCATTTCCTCTTCTGAACGTGGGGACAAAAACAATCCTCAAAATGGCTTCTTGAAGATTAAATGATACAACATATTAAGAATATATACGCAGTGCTAGGCACAGAGTAGGCCCTACTTAAAGGTCCATGTCCTCCTTCCCAGTTCAGGTTTTGTGATTATGACAGCACTCCTGACAAGTGGATGGTTATTAGAGACAATTAGTAAGAAAAATTGCAACTAGGAAATAAACATCTCCTTTAAGCTATTCTGGACCATCCCTTGCCAAAACAAGCCTTCTAAATGTTTCTTTTCCATTGTTAAGGCACAGAATGAGACAGAAGAAAAGGAATTAGGAAAATTATAAGCTGCAGCACAGTGTGACATCAATTGAAAGGGAAAGTAGCCATTATGAAAGAAAAGAATTGAGCAAAAGATGATTGGGGGAAAATATGAAAGTCAGAGTTCTCCTTAATCAGTAAGCAAGGCAAAGAAAGACCTCTAAAAGTCATAACAGCTCTATATTGTTGCAACCAGCTATAATTTCACAAGAATGTCACACAAGGCAGGTGCTGCCGCCAAATATTTTGTGGCATTATTACTGAATTATTCCCTAAGTTTTAGCAGTAGCTCATACTGCTCTGATGCCATGTGGCATTTTAAAGTTAAAACTGTGTGCAGTTAGAATTGGGACATCACACAAACATTAGGAAATTTATATCTGTGACAATCTGAATCATCATACTGGAGCCTCCTGGTGCAAGTCTATGCAATATCTGTTTCAGTCTATATGACAGATCAATCACCGAAACAGTATAAAATTGCTGAGGGAGAATAACTAGATTGAGTTGAAGCAACACACCACTGCTTTACCAATAG